ATTATAACATTAGGCAAAGCACACAGTAACTATAAATGGCTAGTAAGCACATGAAAGATGTTTAATATCACTAATGATTGGGAAATTAAAATTTACATGAAATTACTAAAAATTAAAGACAGACAATATCCAGTACTCATAAAGACCTGAGAAAAGGACATGGGCTACATTAGAGAGCAGCTTAGCAGGCACTTGGCACATTTTTTTTTTTTTTTTTTTTAGACAGAATTTCAGTCTCTTGCCAGAGCTAGATGCAGTGGTATCATCATAGCTCACTGCAACCTTAAACTCCTGGGCTCAAGCAATCCTCCTGCCTTAGCCTCCTGTATAACTGGGACTAGAGGCACACACTATCATGCAAAGCTAAGTTTTCCATTATTTGCAGAGATACAATGAGGTCTCACTCAGGCTGGTCTTGGAACTCCTGACCTCAAGCAATCCTCTTGCCTTCACCTCCCAAAGTGCTAGGATTACAGGCATGCTCCACTATGCAGGGCCTGTACATTTGCTTTAGCCCAATAATTTTCTTCTAGGAAACTATTCTTAAATATTTATAAAAATGTGCAAGGATAAATGCCAAAGCATATTAACTATAGAGTTACTTTTAATTCGAAAAGATGGAAACAGTCTAAATATCCTCAATTTGGTAATAATATAAAATACATTATGGTAAGTCCATACTAGGGAGACAGATCTGTATATAAGAAACAGTGTGGGTGGTGCCCGTAGCACAGTGGGTAGGGCGCCGGCCACATACACCGGGGCTGGTGGGTTCAAACCCAGCCCGGGCCCGCTAAAACAACAATGACAACTGCAATAATAAAAAAAAATAGCTGGGTTCTTTACAAGGTTTTTGTTTCTAGTCCTTATCTTAAACATTGTTATTGTTATTAAATTTTAAGCCTTTTTAATTTTGTGAAGTGGAAACCTAATAATCACATGTATATGTAAAAAACAAAAAACCAAAAATGTGACCTGAGAAGAAACATTTGTTATCAGGAGGAATAAATCCCAAGTAGACAGGTGATCATTAGCGGTCACAAGGAGAAAAGAATCAGAACAAACAGCTTTTAAGTTGTGCAAGTGTGTGTAATGACGTAAACTAGGGTTCAGTGTCATAATGTATTGCGACAGGTGCAAAATACAGATCATAAATTACAGCATTAATCTAGTCTTTTGTAAAATATTTTCATCTGATTAATATATATTTCGGATTAATGTATTTTAATTGAGTGAAACTCTTCAAGTACACTTATATCTCCTTGTATTTTGAAAATTCAAATTTAAGATATAATTAGTGGTGTTACTAAATGTTCCTCATACGTGAAACTAATAAAGAAACTTTCATATAAAAAAAAAATAGGGCAGCACCTATGGCTCAAAGGAGTAGGGCACTGGCCCCATATGCCAGAGGTGGTGGGTTCAAACCCAGTCCT